TAGTGAAAGGATTTTAAGCAATTAAAAACTTGTGAGTGCTTTTCTGATCATATCCCAAACATTTTGAACATGTAATTTTAACATTTCTATAACATGTTGTATTTTTACTTTAAGTAATAAATGGGTCGGGAAAAATATTAATTTATTTTTAAATTTCTGTAAATGGTTAAGTGTTTTAGAGGTATGTTTATATTATCAGTTCTTATTTCATTGTATTATATCAGGAAATCCAAGGTATACAGTTTCTCATTTAAAAATGTGTTAACACCTTATCTGTGGCCTACGATTAGTTTTTTGTATACATTAAAAGATTGTCCTTCTTTATTTCTGTTTAATTTATGTATAAATCTACTCACCTGTCATTATCAACTGTATTACTCTTAGTATTTATCTTTTACTTTTCTCTGCTTGATGTAGCTTATTTTGATAGGAGGGCTTTAAACTCTTTACAATTCTGTTTCATCATCTCTCTTTCCCCCCCTATGTTTTTATCTATTCAACAAATATTCGTTGATTCCCACTGTGTGCCAGGCACTGTGGATACAGTGGTAAACAAGACAGACAAAGTCTGTGTTTCTGAGAGAAGATGGGGGTGTGATGATGGGGAGGTGTGGGCGCTGGGATTGGGAAGAGTATCAGGGAGAACCCCTGAGATGCTAAGGTTGAATAGTCAAGCTGGAGCATTCTGGACCCAGGGAAAGCATGTGTGAACATATACACCCAATAAGTAGCGTTTTCGTTTTTATTATGCCTTGCATCCAGCTAAATTATTGTGCTCCCTTAAATATTTATTCCACAATATTTGCTGAGTGTTACTTAAGACTATGAAGAGTGTTAACACAACATTGTAAATCAACTATACTTCAATTAGGAAAAAAAAAAGACTATGAAGAGTGTGAAGTATGATGCCATCAGTTCTGGAAGTACAGAGATAGGGTCAACCTAGACCCTTGCAAGAGGGTGGAGTCCTCCCTGGGACCTAGCAACAAGGCTTACTATGTACTTTCCAAAATATTTAGGGAAAGGATGAATGATGAAAGATTGAGAAAAAATAGGTAGAACTAATAGAATGCAAAGAAGAGCCCAAGGAAACAGTGGCATTTTCCACATTAAGAGGGTCAGAAGCCAGTTACCATTAGCCTGGAAGGACTCCTAGAACCTGGATGTGTGGGACATGGGTGGTAGGCCTAGTCTCTCTCCATCTCAGAAGAACCTGGAAGCTGGGCTCAGGGCCTTCCACAGAGGAGGCTTTAATACTGAATTCAATAATTCAATGTTCTTTTAAACTTCAAAGTAACTTATGTGCATTGTAGAAAAATTTGAAAAATACACGATTACAGACACATAAGCACCCATGGGCCTATCATTGGAGAATAATTACTGATAACCTTTTGGATTATTTCCTCCATCTTTTCTGGTTTATCATCTTACCTGGTTGTGCTTATTCTCTAATTTCAGGCTTTACTTAACGCTTAGAGATATAGTACATGTTAAGCCTCTTTGTAAACACTTCATGCCTGTATAAGAATCTTCTGTTTTTAGACACTTAGCAGTTTTCTGACTTTTTCATAGTCACAAGTAAGGCTTTGAGGACTGCCCTTAGGCATGAAGCTGCTGCTTCATCTCTGTCCCCTATGCACTGGCCAGCCCAGACCTCAGCCTCAGCCAGCCTGCCCTCCTTGGGCATTGGCCGCTGTTCATAGCCCTTCAAAACTCCTGCTGTTTCCCTGAGGTATTGGTGCTACCCAGGCAGTCTTTGTGCACCACCCCCCCACCTCCCCTGACACATCACTCTCTTCCAGAGTGACCTCAGCTCCTCCCATGAAGTCACTCAAGGTTTACTGAAATCACTGACATCATCACTTCCTCCTCTAAGAGGACCAGCCTCCCCTGGCACCCTCCAGTCAGGGCCCCAACACTCCTGTGACCTGCATCAGCTTCAGTTACTACCTGCTTATCAGTTCATTTGTCATCCCACTTCCATCATACCCCCAGCTTCCTTCATGTCCCAGAACCCAGCAGGGGCTGGCATGTGCTATGGACCCAGAAATGTTTGATGAACAAATGAATGACTGAATGGATGAACCCTAGAAGTAGGCTTCGCTGGGTAAGAGAGTCATTTTTTTCTCTCATGTTTTGAGTATTTCATCAAAAGTTGAAAAAACAAGCTCATAAATACTACTACCCCGTACCCCTGCTCAAGGTTCAAAATGAGATCCCACTGCTTCAGGGCCCTACCACCTCTCCCCTCCCCCTCCCCCAGGGGGTAGAGCCTAGTCTCCTCCCAGGGTCCGCAGGTCACCCTGCTGCATCTCTGCAGTCCTGCCTGAGAGTCCAGGCTTGAGGCTGGGCCTGCCCTCCCCTGTCTCTCTTTAGCTGGACTGTGCTGTGGGGGCAAGAGATGGTCCCAGTAAGTACTCATATCTGTTTTCATAGCATAGGTATTCAATACTCACTGACAAACCTACAGAACTCACCTTTACTGAGCTCCTAGAAGGTGCCTGAGTCTGTGTAAACCACTCTCTATTCTTTCTCGTTGCATTCTCACATCAATACAATGCAATGGGGAGCACAACCATTCCCATTTTACAGATGCAGAGACTGAGGCTCAGACTGTGGTCACATAACCAATAAGGGGGCCCTAGGGTTTAATCTAATCCCTCTCTAACTCTAAGGACCACAGTCTTAATTACGAATCATATTAAGAGATGTTGGGGGGCGGAACCCAGGAGTGGAGGAGGAGCCTGGAGAGGAACATCAGGAAGGGGAGCAATATTGTCATGGTAACCCCACCTGTCCCTTCTTATAGTCCTGTCCGTTCTCCATCGGTGGCCACCTGTCCCCAAGGCCCACATACATCAGTGACCAGACCATTCTGCATAATCGAAAGCCCTGTTCAGATGACTACCGGAAGCGAGTAGGGTAAACCAGGGTTAGCCTGATGGTGGACGGACTGGGCCCAGAAACAGTGCAGGGGTGTTGCTGCCCCAGACCCAGGGCACAAGGGCCTGGTGGGGTGTCCATCACATCTCAGTCCACCACTCCCTGCAGTAGCTGGCAGCAGCAGCCCCTGGGCACTACCAAGCCAAGGTACCTAGAGCAACTAGAGAACTACCTACACAAGGAGCTCCTCCTGCTGGACCTGGGCACAGATTCTGCCCAGGAGCTAAGGCTGCAGGTCAGAGCCACAGAATAACTGGGGGGAGGGCAGGGGCAGGGCTGGGAAGAAACCTTACTCACCAGGACTAGGCACTTCAGACATTCAGGCGAGACCAGCCTTTCCCAGCTCTCTTGAGTTCCCCTTCCTGGTAAGAGAAGCTTGTTCTCTAACAAAGCCAGTGAGCAGGCAAGTCTACCAGCATGGAACCAAAACTCTCCTGAGGGTTGGGTTTCTTTACCTGAGTCAGGTGGCCTGAATGCTGACTCCAGTCCCTTCTGTGATGCCCAGCACCTATCTTGGGTCACTGGGTATCAGTGAATGGAGCCTAAATCCTGGCAGTTGGACAAGCAGGGGTCATACAATGTCTACCAGCCCAGTAACCAGCCCCAAGCTTGAGGAACTTAGCCAGATACAGAGAGAAATCTAGATGTAACCTAGATTCTGATGCATATTAGGGAAGGAATCACCCAATCCCTGCTCAGATGGAAATGATGACTGGGAACCCCTCACTTCTGACTTAGTCACTGACAGAAGCATTTGCTGAGCACTGTCTGTGTGCCAGGCTCTGAGTGGGGCCTTAGATATGGTCTCACAAGCTAAAGGAACCTCGCCAACAAAGAAGCAGAAGCTCAGAGAAGGCATCCGGCTATGTAGTAGTGGAGCTAGGATTCAAACTCAGGGCTGGTTCGGGAGCCTGTGCTCATTCCAGTACACAATGTTGCCTCCAAAAGCTTCCTGTGTGTCCGAGTGGGACAAGAAACCATACCTCCACTTGGAAGCTAGAGCCTTAGACCTTCTCCTGCCTCCACAGGGCTGTAAGATGGGGAGGGGTGCTGGTAAGAGGCCAGCTGAAGCACAGTGCATGGAGGAGGCTGGCTGCCTGGAGAGCCAGAGGGGGCTCAGGTAGAGAGGGGGAGGTCCTGACCCAGGTCGTCTGCCAGGTCTCCGAGACAGCACCAGGAGAGGTCACCAGAGAGCAGCTGAGAGGGATGGAGCTGCCCCTCAGCTCCCTGACTGTGAGAGACCCCAGTGGTGCCTGTGGCATTTATTTGAATGTGAGTTGCCTGGCAGCTTCATGCTAGAACACTTCTAATCCAAGCAAAGAAAAACTTAGGTCCCACTGAGGGTGGCAGCTATAGGCCAGGAGGTGACAGTTTCCCTTTTCTTGCCAGCCTTACAGAGAGATCTTTGAATTTTTCATAGAGGACTTCAAAACATGCAAGCCATTGCTATCCTCCATCAAGAATGCATATGAGGTGATTCTGGGTAAGACTGCAGCCTCCCTGCCTGGCCCCAGACTGGAAGAGGCAGAGAGGATCCTAGTCTGACCTTCTGGGTTCTGCAGCAGGGCTGGGGCAGCTACAAACTGGGCTTTGAGGTCACCAAGCCCCCCTTAGCCTTTTTGCTTACACTGTCATGTGATAGGGCACCCCAGGGCAACTGACTACCTCCCATTCTTGGGAAGCATGGTGGGGCAGTATCTGTGGGAAATAGAGCATCTTTTCTATTGACAGTGAAGCCCAGAAGGGAGGGTGTACCCCTGGGAAGTGAGGGGGCTTCCCTCACCAGGCTCAGGAGGTGCTGGGCATGGTGCAGCTGCAGGACTAAAGGCCGTATGGGTAAAGGGCATAGGTGAGACCCTGGTCCTCATCGGGACTCTGCCCCTGGTTTAAAAGCAAGTGCAAGAAGGACTTAAGCAGGAGCTATGCTTTGAACAGGCATGTATAGACTCCTCGAGTTTGCAAGGGACATAGCCACTCACTGTGACCTCAGGATCAGTGTCTCCTGGTTGTTTGTCCTCCATGGCCCCAAAGGGACTCTCCCACCTGTCCCTGCTTAGCCGACCAGAGGGAGAAGATTCGGGCTCTGGAGCCCCTGAAGGCGAAGCTTGTCACTGTGAATGAGGACTGCAACGAGAGGATCCTGGCCATGAGGGCTAAGGAGAGAGATGAAATCTCCATGCTGAAGAAAGAGAAGATGAATTTGCTAAAACTTCATTGATAAGAAAAATGAGGAGAAGATCTCATTGCAGAGTGAGGTGAAAGGGAGTAATGTGGTGACCAACTCCCTGAATTCCTCCCACTCCCACCCCAGGGGTGACCTTCAGGGCTTCAGCCCTGGGGTGACCCCCTAGCTCTGTCCACCCTTCTGCCTGGAATGATATACAGAGCCACCACCTCCCCCCATACCCCTCTCTCCACATGCTGCCCTCCTCCTCAGCTCAGCACTGGCTTGGTATGGCCCCAAATGCCAGCAGAGTCCCGCTCCTTGGCTGCCAGATTTTCTCCACAGGAGGAAGCTTCAGCACTTTGCTGGATTCTCAGGAATGACCAGTCTCCTCCTCCTTCTACCTTTCTTGTTCTCTTCCCAACAGGTGACCAAACTGAGGAAGAACTTGGCTGAGGAGTATCTGTGCTACCTCAGCGAGCAAGATGCCCGTAAGATCCTTATTGCAGACCTGAATGAGCTACGGTACCAGCGGGAAGACATGTCACTAGCCCAGTCCCCAGGTAAGCCCAAGGTGGGTTTCTCTCCCCTGAAGAGGTGCTGGAGAGGAATCTGGCTCTCACCACTCCTATTCATTCAACTCTCCTATTATCTGCTCATTCACGATGGGAGATGTTCCTGCTGCCACCTGGGTCTGTGGATCTTCTGAGCTGGCCTGAGAATCATAGACTTGTTGTTTACGAAGGAAACAATCACTGGCAGCTGAAGCAGCCTAGACTCCCTAAGGGCAGGACAGGCCTGGTACTCCACATCCTGGGCTTCTCTATTTAAGCTCAAAGCCCTATGCTGGTAGCACTGTGGAAAGACTCAGGGGTTCCCAAGCTGGGAGAGCAGGAAGACCTGGGACATGCCCCAAGGGACACTCAACCCTGCCCTGGGCTACAGGCACCAGAGGCAGGGTGACGTGAGCTGGCGGGCCCCCTGGCAGGTGTCTGGGAGGAGGACCCTGTGAAGTTAACAGTGGCTCTGAAGATGGCCCGGCAAGACTGACCCGCACGCAGATTGAACTCAACACCGTGAAGGCCAACTTTGGAGACGTGGTGCCCAGAAGGGACTTTGAAATGCAGGAGAAGACCCTCAAGGATCTGCAGGAGCAGGTGCTGGTGGGCAGGCAGGGTAGCGAAGGGCCATGCAGGTGAGTAGCAAGGACCAATCACCCTGCCCACAGCTGGACAGCCTGAGAGACGACTATGAAGAGTTCTGCAAGGAGCACAAGATGCTGCTGCAGTTGCACACGAGCTGAAGGAGCAGGACCAGTTATACTCCGAGCTGCAGGAGATCCAGCACATGGCCATACCGCGGCCAGACTGGTCCAAGTGTGAAGGTAATGCTGGCCATGGGAGCCCTAGGGACTGCTCAAGTGCGTGGTCTGGACTCCAGCTCCCTCTCCCCACCTGCAGATGTGGTGGCTGGAGGACGAGATCGCTGGCAAATGCTGGCCGAGGGCAAGAACAGCGACCAGCTGGTGGATGTGCTCCTGGAGATTGGTGAGGGGCTGCTCCAGGAGAAAGACTTCTTCCCTGGTCTGGTAGGGGAGTCCCTGGGCTCAGGAGGCTTGGGGCCAGAGTCAGAATGGCCAGGCCTTGCTGCTGAGAAGACTTGAGGTTCTGGAGGAACTATCTGGGGCTCTGCCCTGCTTGCTGGTGGGGCTACAGAGGGGCCCAGAGATAAGCTGACATGGTTCCATACAGGGTTATGGGGAATCCATCCCCCGTTTCCTTCGGTTTGATGGTGTCATGCAGAACAAGAAGCCAACCAAGAAGGATGTGGTAAACCTCCTCAAGGATGCCTGGAAGGAACGTATCACTGAGGAGCAGGTCAGATCTCTCTAGCCATTTTGGCCTGGTGTGGCTGCCTGAGTCCTCTGGTGCATGGGGGGGTGGGGGTGTCCCTCAAGGTGCTAGGGAACAGGGAGGAGGGCCAACAGACGTGGGGCAGGCTGACCAAGCAGTCTTCCCCCTACCCTGCAGAAGTTCCCAGATTTCTTCTTCAATTTCCTGGAGCGTCGCTTTGGGCCTGGTGATGCCATGGCCTGGGCTTACACCATTTTTTAATGTACCAAGCTCTTCCACTCCAATGAGGTCATGAGTCAGTTCTATGCAGTCTTGATGGGAAAGGTAAGCTTGGGCCTGGCCCTCCACCCTTTGTCTCCGGCATAGGCCAGCTCTATCCCCACCCCTCTAGGAAACAGCAAGATGGTCAACGCTTCCCCCCTAGAGGAAAGAGAGTGTGTACATCAAGCAGAATGAGACAACAGCATAGCTGCTGAAGGAGATGACCAGTGCTGACAGCCAGAACGAGGGGCTACTAACCATGGAGCAGTTAAGGTGCGAGACCAGTTGGCCACCCCGAACTTCAGCCCAGCATGACCTCTGGCCAAGCTCCTAGCTATGCAGGGGGAAGGGGAGCCTGGTGGGAAAAGGCCAGACTCAGTGCATTCTGCCCTTTTGAGCACCAGTGGGGCTGGCAGAGGGGTGCGGGGAGATGGGTAGGCAGGCATCAGCCAGGCCTGTCAGCCCTCGTATCTCCCTACAGCACTGCCCTCAAGAGTACTTTCCCCTTCAAGAAGGACAAGAGAATTCAGGAGCTGATGGAGGCAGGGGGCTGGCATCCCAGCAGCAGCAATGCAGACTTGCTCAACTACTGCGTATTATTTATGGAGGTGGGCTGGGGCCCAGGAGCTTGCCCAGTCCTGCCCTAGCCTCTGCTGGACCCTAGCCCGTGTACTCTCACCCTGCCTTGTGGCCCCTTCCCAGGACAAGGAGGGCCAGAGCGTGCCCTTTGTACAAAAGCTGTGGGAACAGTACATGGATGAAAAGGATGAATACTTACAGGAGTTAAAGCAGGAGCTGGACCTGGAACTGTGAGTGACCCTGGGGACCTCAGGCTCACTTAGTCATAGGCAAGTCCTACAGGTTGGGCCACAGAGTAGCACCTCAAGCCCCAGGTCTCCCTATGCACCGAGCTTGCTGCTGGGCACTACATACTGCTCAAGCCTGGGAGAGGGCATCTTGGGGTCTGAGGTACAGAGAGGACAGTCAAGGTCTATCTCTCTCTTTCTTTGTGGGGGCAGCCATGATGAGGTGACCCTACCCAAGGTACGTGAGGCCTTGATGAACATTGATCCCAGCCTGGACAAGCAGACCCTAAACAGCTATTTGAGCCAGGCCTTCCAGCTCCCCATGACAGAACTCCCAGAAGAGGGCGAGGAAAAGGAAGAAGGCATTGTGATAAGGCTCCAGGCTGCACTGGAACAGCTTCAGATGAGTGATGTTAGGCATATGGGGCCCTGAGAGCAGGAACCTGCAAGCTGAGGCCACTGTGGGCAGCCTGAGTGCTCCCGTGCTGCTAACCTCTGACTGTTGTTATAAAATTGTTTGTCTGAACCCATGCTATTCTCTAGGTTATGCTGGGGAGTCAAGGGAAGGGTGGTTGGTCCCTGCTTGGCTGGTCCCAGAACATGCACCAAAGCACAGCATATTCTGTTTGTGACATTTTATTGATGCTGGGGGGCAGGGAGGAAACCTAGAAGTGTATGTGGGGCCAAGGGGCCCCAGGTAGGGACAGGGCAGGTGTTGAGGCCTGGCCACTACTGGGCAGGGAAGACAGTGTTGCCACTGAATGCACAAGGGATGAGCTGCTGTCGGTACTCCAGGGGCAGGTGCCGCTCCACGAGCACATGCAGGGAGACTTGGTCACTGACCAGGCCCTGCCTGCAGCAGAGGAAGATAGAGAATGAGAGAATCAACGCCAGCACTCCCACACCCAGCACCTCCCTGCTTCCATCCACTTACCTTCGCATCAGCAGCTCCAGGTCCTCTGGCCTCACAGTCTTGCGGCCAGCATGAGCAGCAAATACCTCCAGGTCGTCACAAAGATGCTGGAAATACTTGTCCAGGCTGCCAAGAAAGTAGGGGTAAAACAGACTGTTCATGATCTGAGGGGCTCCTCTCCCACCCCAAGTGTCAAGGACTCACCACTTCTCCACCATCTCCACAGCCTTCTTCTCCATAGGCATCTTAGCATAGAAGCTAAAGAGTTTCGCATAGTGGTTCAGTCCAGTCTTGTAGGGATCTTGACGGGGTCTGGAGCCAGGGATTCGGGGCTTGGGAGGAAGCCTGGCCGACAGAGGCTCCGGAGGCTCTGAAGGTAACCTGGGGGCAAGGAGTGAACAGAGTTAGCTGAACTGCTGCTACCTAAAGAGGCCGCTAATCAAACATAAGTCTTGCTGGCTCCTGCCAAGACTGGGGCCCTTGTGCTCCTTGACCAGGCTGGACCAACAGCTCCAACCATTTCTGGGGGGCAGTGGGGACAGGGGGCTATGTAGAAGCCTGGTCTTTCCCTGGGGCCCCAACCCTCCACAATCTGGACACAATGTCCCAGTCTAGCCTCATCATACAAACCAGTACTTGCTCAGGCCCATGATCCTCAGGCTTTGGCATGGACATTCCCCCTACTCAGCCCACTGCTGCCTGTCCCATTCTGCTAATCCTCCTCCAGGAAGCCTTCTCTGACTGCATACTAACCTAGGCACTTCCCCCCTGCCCAGGCTCCTCTAAGCCCCTGCAAGCAGGCACCAGTCAGATGTGCTGAGTGGGCCCCATCCAGCCCACCTTAGGGTGCTCTCCTGGGTAATCATCTACATACCTAAAGGAAGAGTGATAAGAGTGATAACTCTGTGGTACCCAATGCCAACCTTAGTACCTGCCCCCTTCCAAGAGGCCCATGTGGAACAGGGTCGTGGGATCTTACACTGCAGTGCTAGGCGGTGGAGCTGGCTCAAGAAACTGAAGTCGCCTGGCCCGAAGGAACTCTGGGGTGCTGGAGGCCAACTCTGGACTTGCTGCAGAGGAAGGGCAGGGTTACAGAGGGCACAGGCCAGACCATTTCACTCAACCCTGAAGCCCCACAGCCTCCTTATCCTGTTCCTCGAGGGCTCCATCTAGCTCCAGCCAAGCAAGGGGCCTTTCAGAGTTTCCCTGGCCCAAGACCACCTGTGCCCAGAAACACAAGCCAGGTAAGCCCCTCCTCCAAGGCCAGGGACACAGCTGTCCCTTACCCACCCACCCCCTGATCCCTGCACTGGGCCCCTTACCTGTTCTACCAGAGGTGTCTCCATCCCCTGAAGATCCTTCTGGCTCCTTGGCCTCGACAGCCCCCCAGGATCCCTCTGCTTCGGTCACTGCTATGTGTCCTTCAAGCTCTTCTGCTCTGGCGGATCCTTGTGCTTCTGCTGCCTTCTCCACTTCCCTCAAGCTTTCTTCCATTCTTTCCTCTGCCTCCTCACCTACTCCATTCTGTAAGGGCTCTACTCCATCTTCTCCAAAGATATTACTGCTGATGTTCGGAAAGCCCATAGCAAGGGCATCAACCTCCTCCACGTTTCCTGCCAGAAGCTGGGCTGCTTTCCCAGCACCTGAATCAAGGGGAGAGAATATAGGCTAGAAAAGCAGTAGGCCAGGGCTGTAGCTCTGAGAAAGGTAAAGATGGAGTAGTAAAACCCAGCCTAGCCCATCAAGGAGGGAAGAGGGCCAGAGGCAGCCCCAGGGTACTAGTTTGGAATCTCCTGGCCCAACACTGACTCTGCTCTTGGATGGAGGGATCAACAGCCCTCCAAAGGGACTCGGGGGTGACGGGGTACACATATGGGCCTGAGGAGGAAAAAACACCAATGCCAATTCTTGCTTAAGCTAGGCTTGGCTCCAGGTTGCGTGCCCCACATACTCACCGTTGTTCTGCAGCCCAAGCCCACTGCTCCATGTCCTGCGACTGGCAGCCCTCTCCACATCTTTAGCCCCAGAGTGAGAGCAGCAAGGCAGGGAGTGGTGCACACTGGGGGAACGGCCAACCAAGGGCTGGGAGAAGGGCTGGGTGTCCTCCAACACTGTGTCTGTTGGCAGAGTAGCAACAGGGGTTCTGAGGCTCTCATCTGGAGATCAAGGTCCAGTTGGCACTCAGTGTTTTGCACGCCCACCTGCTGTTCTGCTAGCCAGTCACCAGGGCCTGGGTAGTGGACCCACAAGCCTGCCCAAGTGGCCCTCAGAGAGAGAAGACTGAGCCTATTCTAAGCCTAATCTCCCTTCCACAGCTCTCCTTGCTTACCTTTCTGCTCCTTAGCCTGGCATTCCCAGGCTCCATAGGTTGCCCCACCCAATCTGCTCACCCATGCCTCCATTCTCCACTTCTCATTCAGGTCCCTCTGCCTGCAACCCTTCTCTTATCCTGGTGAACTTGACTTGTCTTTTGGAATCAGGCTCCCAGGTCAGCTCTGACTGAACAGCTGATCCTGAAACCTAGCCCCTTTTAACCTCCCAATAAGCTCCAGCCACCATATCACACCCCTTTCCTACCCTCAGTCCTGTAGCTCTTCAAGGATATGGGGTCCTGGAAGATACTGAGGGACTAAGACTGGGCCCCCGGAAGACAAGAGGCAATTTGCAGAAAGAAAGCAGAAAGTCCTCATAAACCTACTGGCCAGGCTTGCTCACTGTTCTTGACTCAAAGGAGAGAGGAGCAGCCCTGGACTCAGCAGCACCTCCCATCAATCATGGGGGGAAAGCTTTCCCCACAGGCCAGAAGACAGAAATCTCAACCCTACCTGGAGGAGCCAAGGCCAGGGAAGTATCTCGCAGATCCTGCAAAAATGTACCCACATCTACAGCTCGGCGGGTAGGAGGTCTGCGGGCCAAACCAGGCCTTTTCACTGATTGTGTTTGCAGAGGTGTGGCGAAGGTCAAGTTGAGGGAGCTGATGGGAGGGACAAGGCACAAAGGAAAGTCAGGTACCTGAGGTCCAACCACCCTCCCCCACCCCAGGAGTCCCCCAGCTGCCCCGGTGCTCTCATCTCTTAGAACCCAGCCACCATGCTGTGAGCATGGAGCAGTTATGGCCAGACTGCATTCTATTCAGCACCCCCTTCCCCAAGCCTCTCCTCCACCAACTCCCGGAACAGGCAACAGCACCTGGTGAGGGAAGAGGCATCAACATTCCCATGAGGCTCTGCAAGAGAATGTAAAAAGAAACCATAATAAGTTACCCAGGCCTCTCTCAGGCCTCCTCAGTCTCTCCAGAGGACAGAGAGGGTGGCCACAGGTGTTGTCCAGGACCTCACCTTGGGAGGGAGGCAGTCCCAAGTCCACTCCTTGCTGAAACACTGACAACCTCAGTCTCTGCTTCCTTCTGCCAAGAGCCAGCAGACCTGGAGCCAGGGTTGTGGGGGGCTCAAGTTCAGGAAGCTGCAGCTCCAGGCTACAAGGATGGAGCTTTTCTCAGACAAGCCAGGGCACCCAACTCCGGCTCTTAGAGCCCCAAGAGGCTCCCTGACTAGTAATGCCCAGCAGCCTAGCCCAAGGAGGGAATTTACTGCACCTGCCCCGACTGCTTTCCCGTCTGGAAGCCTGGACCACCTGCGGTGCCAGCACTGGCTTCACCACTGACTCTGGCATTAGGATGGAAGATTCTGGGGCTGTAGAAATAGGAAGGAGAGAGTGGAGTTGGCAGGGAGGGCTGCCCTAAATGAGAGATTTCACAGGGCTGGTGCCTGATTCTCACTGCAGGCCAGTGCTCACTCACCAGTTAGTAAGATGTTCTTCAGCAGAGTCCGGGGTGTCTGTTCCTCCAAGTGTCCACTGGCTTGAACACGGGCCAATCTGTCAACAGACTTTGGGTAAAAGCATCAAGCAATCAGTTTGTTCCTTTGCCTTGACAGTCCCTCAAGGTGGGCTCCAGAGCAGAGCTATAACTCAAGAGCCCCCGAAGGCAACCAGAGCCCTGTAGTGATCAGCGGGTAGAGCACTTACCCTGGCTCTATTAGAACAACGCCTGGCAGTCGTCTTTGTTTGGCTCCTCAGCCTCCTAGAGGAAGGTGTTTGAAGCAGGGCTCTCTGGACACTGTGTAAAGAGCAGCAATTGTGAGAATTATGTAGGGAGGGTGAACTAGTGACGGGTCTTCGTCAGGGATCTTGGCTGAAGTCCTTTACCCTCAGACACAGGGACCAGAAACCACTTGCCCTCCCACAGCCCTATTCCCAGTTCTATGTCAACAGGGTTGTGGATGAAAGGGAGCCGAGGGGTATGGGAAGAGAGAAGGAATATGATGACCCAGCCAGAGAGAAGGGCTGAGGAAGGCTTCACTGAGGTGACTACGGCAGAAGTAGGGGTTAACCACACAGATAAGAGGAACAACTGGAAATGTATCCATTCTAGACACTAAAACAATCCAGGGATATTTCAATATTTTTAAACCTTTTAAGTACTAGTCAGGGTCTGACAGCAACCTCCACATGGGTCACTCCAGCCCTACTCTCTCCAATCC